TGACTCCTTCGGTCTCTCCTTACCTGTGGTGACCGTTAGGGCGAGGGCTGCAGCAGTGAATATTGCCAACAAAACGACGAGAATCCTTTTGGGCGTCTTGGAAGTCACATTGTCCTCCAGGGTGAGAATGGCATTGGGACTGGTTCGGTTATCCTCCATGGCTGAGTTAGGCTGTTCAGTTCTGGAATGAAACTGAACCCTTAAGTTCAGTGGAGAGAGAAAAAAATATAGAAAGTGTAAAACTTTTCAGATTTGATGAGATCGTCTAAAATGTTAGCATTTTCCCTTTGCATGAAACGTGGAGAATCATCAGATTGTTTCAGAGACACAGACATATGAAATGAGGTTTCATTTGCAAAAACGCCATTGTCGTTTAAGTGACAGATTTCCTGGTTGCGACTTCGTGTAGCTGGAGTTATCTGCCGTCCAAGCAGTGCGGCTTACGCACTGTTGTTTCACGGACGCGTATAATCCAACAGTCAAACCCGGTGCAAGAACAGTTGGGATTCGGAGTGAATTTGCAGATGAATCTCTTCTTACTTCCCACTGTTCTGAGGTAAAACTACTCCAATTCACAAAAGATACTTGTTACGACTTCACAATTGTGGGCTAACAGCTAAGGGAAAAAGCCCAAGCAAACTATTCAGCATATATAAAAAAATGACTCATGGTTGGAAAATAAAAAAGAAATACGATTTTAAAGCAGCCCAAATAATTCCTCGTGCTATCTACATTGCCTACTCTTCAAACAGTCTCTTGTGGAACAGGAAGAAAGGTAAGCAAAAACTCCCGTTTACTACGAAAATGAGTGCCGAGAGTACCATAGGCTACCAAGCTCACGTGCAGTCCCGTTTACATTCAAAGGTCAAGAGTGTTGCCAAATTAAGAAATTAATTCAGGCTTCAAATTTAAAAGACGATTAACGACCAGATAAGGCACGTGGCTCTTGACGTCAGAACATTGCTGACGTCGCAGGACCAAAATCGAATGACCTTTTCCAACCCAGTGTGCCATAATTGCTCAAGAAATGTACATGTATGTCCTCTCATTACTTTTGTACCGTCTCTGTTGATGTTACAAGTTACCTTTTAATGTTGAGGATATTGGTGAAAATTGTGTCTTACAGTCAGGCATGGCGACACGGGCGCGGCACCCATGTAGTGTAGGAAGAAAGCGAGAATGTTAGCTCCTGGCGTACGATTGGGTAAAATTTTGGCCGAAATTGTCTTGTCTTCAATTTGACATTAGTGTTGGTACCTGAAAAAATTAAGCTACTACGCCAATCGTTACAAAATTTATTAACGATTGGCTTAGCAACTGAAATTTATTAAAGGTAATTTAACTGCCTTTATTCCTATCTTATAGGGTCATGAGTCCCTGATGGTGGGGTTAGATACTTTTGGCTGAGGAATGAGCTATTGAATCACCCCCTGACTTTTCTTTAAGAGTGAGGAAAAGGGTTTCCAGTAGCACTGAAGAAGGGAGAAACATTGAACGTGCTGAGGGATGGTCCCCATGCAAGGGACGTTCCTTGTCAAGAAGGATCACGATATTGAATCGATCCGTTGATGAAAATAACTTAGTTATATACTTACCACACTGTTGGCGGCAACGAGATCTCCCCACTCACGCCAAGTGTTCAAAATGAACGTTCGTACAACTGTTCCTGCTAAACTACAGCGTACTGCGTGATTCAACGTCACACCCTGTATTTATGTACACATAATGATATCACGCCTCAATAGAAACGAGTTCAAACATTAAGTACCAGGATATACCTGTGGAGATGTGAACTTGAAACATTGTATTTCAACAGGACACTATATTGCGACATACTCTTACTGGCATGACGCCTTGTTTCCAGAGTGGAGTTTTTCTGGAAGTGACTAAAATCGCGTTCAGCCTTTGGAAGGTCGAATTGCATCTGTTCACGTTGTGTGGTGGAGTTGAACTTAAAATATCAGAACACCTAAAGACAGAGTCTGGATTGGGATTAAGTATTTCTTTCATTACTCCAAGCATTATATTCATCTTAGTATCGTGTCGTTCGAGTCGAGCCTTCTGCTCATTTAGTGACTTGATTCGATAATTGTGGTACTTCCCAGTTGAAACTCAAGCAGACTTGCAAAAATGTCACCAAAATCAACTCGAGTCATTGTAACTCTGCGCACACCCACTCTACCCCATCACCACAAATTCTGTTTGGCTGAGAAACAACAAACGCAGATCAAAAAGCGACTGTACCGATCCAGTGCACCACTGCACACTTTGTCTTGCTGATCGTCGACTGGGCGTATACCAGGGGTCTTTCCCGCAGTAAAGGGAAAAAAAGACATTGCACTCTACGACATACCGGTAATTATCACTACTTAAAACAACTGTCACTACAAAAAAAAACCCCTGTAATTATCATAATCTACCATTGGACGGAAGAAAGAGTGAATAAATGTACTAAGTAGGCATAGAAATGGTGAAACTTATTGATGAATTTTAATACGCATAACAGGAGAGTACACTTCTTGTGATTCGAATGAATGCTCATTAAATTGTTAATGAACCACTTTTTTTCCTGTAAACTGCAAGCGTTTTACAGTCAGCAAGACATGGAACTGAGGGTACCCCCATAACATGTCCAGTCCCTGTACACACTCTAGACTATTTCGCTTCACATGTAGCGTTTTATACCCAGCAAGAAATGAGACCGAGGGGTACCCCCCCAACATGTCCAATCCCTATGCACATTCCCGACCATTGTTACTTAACACACCCCCCCCCAAGATGTCTGAAAGGAATTCCCCAGATTCCTGGGAGACAATGACCAACACAAAGCAGGGGGGTTCTCTCCGTCTCATACCGTGCTGCATTTGTAGCGTTTACGTCAAGAAGAAACGACGAAATATTGGAGATTCTTGGGATCGAAAGAAAAGCATTCAAGCCGATTCGAACAAGTGTTTAAGTGTTTCTTCGACCTAAACCACGGCTCTCCCTCCCCTATTGTCTTTTGCCAAAGAGATCAAAACGTTTTACTGACGCATTGAGCCGTGAGAGGAATGGGATCCATTGTCGAGCGTTGGCTAGCTATGTACACCTGCATGTACTTAAAAGCTTTACCCAGCTGGGTGCACCTAAAACTGTTTCAGCCTCGTTTCCATATGGTCGTTTGTAACACAGACGGTCCTCAAGACGTGAAAAAACAGACACAAACGCAAGAGTCAGTGCGTGATGTCATTCCACCCAAAAATTGAAACAAAATGGCGTCGGTAACTCTGCGATTTTATTGCAGAAAATACTCTTTTAGATTGACTGTACAGCCTCAAGATGCCAAGCCTGTACTCCAGTGTCATGCATTTCATTGTTGGTTAGCCATTCAGTTGATCCTAAGGGTGTAATATTTAAACAATAAGGAGATAATGGAACTAAGCGCAAAGGACATCGTTACAGCCCGTTTATGCCAGCACGCGTGTTTGTATGGGGACACCACAGCTACTCGACGCTGGCAGCAACTTTGCCGATCGGTCCCAAGCTAGTTTGTGTTTGTCTGCGTTGTTGGCGAGACGGCGCACTTCCGTTTGGCATGTTTCCATACGTCTGCGTTGCAGTTTGCGTCTTGATTGCGTTGCTCTCTGTTTTTTACGTTGATATGGAAACCAGGCTTTATTGACAAACACGGTGCGTGAATATCAAGTCACACACAGAGACTTGCAGTCGGCACCATCAGCAGATCGTTGGCTGCACGCATTGTTTTCACTGCCCAACAAGTTCACGTGGATTTACATGTATAAGTTAGCTGTACTGTACGGAGTTTGTGACTTTGTACACCATCAACAAGCAGGTTTGGCGAGCGGCTAATTAGGGAACCACAGTCTCCTGTCTCTTCAAATGGAAACCACCTTTACAGCCTTGGAACTACATTGCGTACTCATCGACATCCCTCTGTCTTTAGAAATTATTTCATAAGGCCAACGAATGCATCGACATCTGTGAAGTACTGGCAGGTAAGTTTCTAAACCATTAATCTGTTTTGTGTAATGTTGTACCTGAATTGTTATTGTTACAGTTCTTTCTTTTTAACTGTTTATTTGAAGAAAAGAGAAAGGGTTAAAATTGAGGTTAAACTGAAAATAAATTGGTTAAATACGAATTTGAAAACTACAAAGATATATATTGTATGAAAATTATACGTTACAATTAACCAATGAATATAATGAAATAAAAAAAATGGAAGGAGAATGTACCGAAACAAACGATATACATTAAAAGTGAAATGAAAGGAGTGATTCACTTCAAGTACAAAACTCTGACATGAAACAAAAATATAAGCGCGGCAAAGCGCAAATTTCAAGGGAGAACATCAACCCGCAGAATTTCTAATACGGTATATTTATCTTTATATAGTGTTAATCATTATTCTTGATGTGTTCTTGACGTGTTGATAATGTCACAACATTATCAAGTCAGTTCAAGTCTATCAAGTCAATTTTGATAAGTCTTTTTTTCGGCATATTAAAGTTCACTGTATATTCTCAAGAGTAATCGACACTCATGTTAATAGGGTGACGTCACAAGAGTAGTTTACTAACAGTCAATTGTTTCTACATTCGGCACAGCATTCACAATTCATGACTCTAAATCTATTCAGGTTAACATCAAATCTGAGTAGGGACAATAGGAATGGACACTATTTCAAAACCAGGCTAAAGAGTTACAATACACAAGTAAAATTCACAACACGAATTTCCAAACTTTTATTGCCCGTAAACATCGGAGATTTCTGCAGACTAATTGTTTACTTGGCAGTATGTAAAGAAAGATCAGAGCTGTTATGAAGTAGCAGACACAACTTAGACAATTGTCATTAAAAAAAGCAACTCTGTAATTATCACACGGAACAAAATAAGAGTAAATTAGATGAAAGTATGCAATTGATACATCAGTTCGAATACGCTTAACAGGAGAGTACACCTTTTGCTTTGAAAAAGTAATACATCAAGTTATGAATGCACCACCAGTTACTAAAACACGCATTTACCGGGTACTTTACGTTATATTTGCTGTAGCGCAGTTCCAGGTAATACATCTCTGTCTTTTCAATTATTTGGAATGTTTGCCCAAAGCATCATGGTCAAAAAGTTAGCATCTTAGGATTAAGTTCTTGAAAGAGCGAATTTAATACCAGACTTTGCATTTGACGTCTGGGTTCATGTAGCTTCCTGCAGGGCAGTTGAATGCAGCGTTAAACGCCTCGTTGTTCTGCAGTGGACCAATAACTCTAAAAAAATATTTAAAAAAAATAAACAGAGCGCCAGGTTAGCATATCTGAATTGCAATGGGAGGCAACGGTACAAGTTGAGTGAAAATTTTCAATCTATTCATATCTCGTTCCTTCATATTGATTTTACTCGCGAACCTGTTGTATAACTTTTGGATAATTGATTAGATTGCTGAGAAAACTCTTGGAGACATTAACCAACCTGTATCGGCGGGGACTGTGCACTCCAAAGTCGATGTAGTAATCCACACCTTCAGGTTTCAACACACTGCACGAGAGCTGAGATTTCGTAAAAAAAAAAAAAGCGTCGGTGTTTCATCCGTAATTCATTTCCTTTTTGCAGCTCTTTGTAAACTTCATTAACAGTCTGAATGGAACAAACAAGCTGTTGTTGACTTGTTTTGTAATTGACGTGCTACGTGTAAAATCAAACATGTTTTTACATACACCGCACATTTAGATTACTTTTAGCGTATTACTTGAACTTTTTTAATTTGACACAGTAAAGCTGAGTACAGGCTAAGTGAAGGGACGATATTTTGGCAGGTGTTTTTCCCGCTGCCAACCGACAGGCATGACGTCACAAGATCTTACGGTGGTTTTTTTTTTTAAAGTATGCTTCACTTTAAGACTGTCTTGAAAATAATAAAGCAATGTCGTATAGCATTAATTTTAACGTTTATATACGTAAATGTTTGTCTTTGCTTCACCTGGGAAAATGACAGGAAGAACATCTGCTCCTCGGTGAAATCAACACCAGGAAGTCGAGGCTGCTTAGGAATGTTGTCTATGTAGGCCTTTCCAAAAGAAAAGATATTAAAATGGGCCATATTTTTAAAAAGTGATATTCGCATTATTATTTTAGGTTTGAAGTGGGGGATTTAAATTTATACATGTAATGTTAATGTACATGTGTGGTGTGCCTTCGTGGTGGTACCTTATACGCCTCTCTGAGTCCTCCGGCGTCAGCGATGTTTTCACCTTGCGTTTTTGTTCCGTTTAGCTGTAAAAAGTAGCAGATTTGCGTCTTTTTACTAATTTTTTAGTCTTTTTACTTAATTTTCTCCTCCTGGATGCAGAAACCATCACTATCATTCAAACAAAGGGAGGGGAGGCTGTTTTGTCGTCGTAAAGAGTGTCTGCAGCTGCAGGCATAATTTCACAAAATGGAATACGATTGGAAAAAAAGGGGAAAGATAATCCACAATGCAAAGCTTACGTGTCTGCCATTTTCTGGCATAACAAAGCCGGAGTATTGATCGATAATGCACTGGGCTTTCTCTTTGAAATTGTCAATGGATTCCTGAGTCCACCACTGCCTAAGGATGCCGTCTTTGTCGAACATTCTTCCTGTAACAAGAACAAGAAAGACCCGAAATTTTGAATGAGTCCTCCGGAGCATTCTCCTGTTAATTAATCGTGCATATATAGAATCAGTTCCTGCTAAAGTGCGTTGTAATTACGCCAATGTATTACTAAAATTTAAAAATGGTTTATAAGATAAGCATAATTTAACAAGTATCTCTTTCCCCTTTTAGTATATTAGTGAAGAAGGAAATGACTCCCAGAAGCAACATAAAGCTCACGTATGCTTCGAATTCGGACGTTTTACCCGTGATTTATTCAGATATCCATAATCTTCTTTCGCCTTGCATGGCGATAACTCACCATCGTTATCAAAACCATGTGTGATCTCGTGTCCAATGACGCTACCTATACCGCCGTAATTGGAATACCTAAACAGAAAATTTGGAAAACGCTGTGTTATCGTGGCCAAAAAAAATTAATTTCTTTGAGCCTTTCCCATCAGTTTAATTTGCATAGTATAAAGCTAGGTCATATTTTTCTTTATTCTCTTAAAATAATCATTACACAATTTACGTATAGAATTCCAGGTTAAAAGGAGTTTTTAATCCCACGGTGTCGCAGCAAGTCTTTATCACATGCGCATACTGAATATCCAGTCCAGGAAATTTCATCAACCGCTTCACGATCTTTGTTATGCCACCGAAAGCTGTGAAGATTTCATGTTTCACTCTTATTTCGCCGTGGTGTAAAGTCTTTTATCGGCTTAGAGACAATTGAGTGTTATAAGAAGTTGGATTTGCAATATTACTGCGTGCTTCCATGAAATATTTGCTTATTTTATTCTATCACGTACTGGTGTATTTCCACATGATGCTTTTCCACCTATCCACTTGTATTTTGTATTATAATTTGCCAGTTGTGTTATGGACTCTTCCTGGCGTTTAGTCTTCCCTTTGGCATTATATATAGGCCTACGTTATCAGGTTTATATTCTTCAGTTTTGAAATTTATGTAATTGGGGTTCAATTTATACATTTTTCGAATCTAAATTTATAGTTAAAAGTATTCATATTCATTTTTACCTAGTTCACTCTATGCAAACTTAAGTGAATAAATTGACGGGGTAGGCTTCCTGGCGTCATTCTTTGGTATTCGCGTAACGTTCTTGGCTTCTGAACTTTGTACAGTTGTTTTGCTCAACAGCTGTGATTACGCTTACAGATTTACATAAGTCAAACCAATAAATTTGGTACCCTTAAAAGAGCCGGGCGGAATCCGCCCCCCCCCTTCCCCCATCGGCTGTTTTCCGATATCGGTGCAGTGCATTGTTTCGAGAGTTTCGAGGGTAGCTCTTTGAGGTCATTTTGACACCATTTTTGTGAAAATCGAGCGAGCAATTCTCACGCACCGCTGGGTCAGCCCATTTTGTCCACTGTGGTGCTCAATGCACGCGTTCTAGTATCTGGCACTCAATTAGCCATGATTTTAAAATGACTGTAACAACAAAGCCTTACGTGTGATTGAGTGCAAATTTTAACATTTGTAATGATAGAGATTGCTTGTACATGCATATTAGAAAAATCAGGCATGGTACAGCGGAGTTCTTGGGGAGTTTACCCTGGCTCTTTATAGGGTTAATGGGGTAAACATTGTGGAACAATACAGCATGTTCCGCCAACGAGGAAATGCGTGGCAATTTTGATTGTAGGTTTTATGACTGTTTCTCTATTGTTTTACACACTTCATTGCAAAGTCTTGAGACAGAGCTATCAGAAACGAACTTATAATGTTGAAAGGCCCAGATGGTAATACTCACCAGGGAAGATCCTTATGGTAGAAAGGTGGTTGGAGGATGCCTGCCGGAAATACTAGAAAACAGATGTTCAAGAACGTGAAATTGGTGGGTATGAGCGTTGTAAGTCGGATGACTCCGGGCTGGTAGATTTGGTGCTTGTTTGAATTATTTATATTTATGGCAGACAGGTCAGTTGGTGACAGCAGAGTAAATGACCGGTTGGTAATTGGTGGGTGTAACAATAACTGCTAGATACGTGACTTGCCTGGTTACATAGATCGTTTGAAATTTAGGAGGTTTTAGGCATTGGCCAGTAAACAGCTCGTTCGTGTTGAATTGTTGTATTTCCTGATGCAATTGTAGCATTTAATTTTCTTGTTCGCAAGTGTAGTTGTCGATTGATATGGCTGGAAGGATTGTAGATTAAGCAAGGTGCACCCAAGAATATAGTCAGTTCATAAGTTGATAACTACGTTTCTGCAATATATAAAGCATGCAATAAAAGTCTATTATAGCTTTTCACCATGATAGCCAGGCTTGTGGAGTGGATGGTAGGGATGGATGAGATTCAAAGAACATAGCTTACACATTCCGTTTCCTTCTCGATGGTAGAAAGCATTGACAACAGCTGGTCCATATGTTGACCATCTTAAGACAAAGTACACGTAAATCATTTAAGTGCATGGATAATACCGAAACAACGTTCCACTATTTTAAAGTGCATATAGCCTTCGCAAACAGGCTTGTCCAAGGCTTATTAAAGTGGCATTCAAGTCCAAATGCTCCCAACATAGTCTCAAGTGTTTTTTGTTAGACTTCTTGGTCTTGTCCTTTTTGAAGCACTGGCAAATCTTGTTCCTTGCAGAACAAAATGTTACCACATACTCACAGTGAGTTTTCAGTGTCCACATCCTCACGTAAGAGTGCCAACTCGGCCTGAGAAACCCACTCAAGGTACTTCAAGTTGTTCTGGAAATACTCGTCGTCCTCGGTAGTTAGCTACGAAATCAAGATATTGTCCATAAAACGATAAGATTACCTATAATGACCACGCCCTGCATTGTAATTATTTGTCTCAAGAAGTTGCAGTAAAGAAGAGCATAGAAGAACCCTGTTTCAGACAAGCATTTTTCGTGGGATATATGTATCCGAACTCTTGCCGAATCATAAATAGATATTACCGTTGATATCCTTTACCACACTTCAAGGGATTCTATCGCCGTACGTAATGTAAAGACAAATAACTTATGAAAACTGCAATGCTGTTATTCGATATGGATGTCCTCTTGACTGACACTAAACTGCATGAGATGCACGATCTCCTAACATGTTATGTCAAGATATCATGATTATGTCCTACATACACCAACGTATTCCTCGTCAAGTTTAGCGTTGTCCTTTATCCACTCTGGGTAGCCAATTTCAAAGGCCATCACATCTGCCTGAAGGTCAAAGGAAAGGTTAACAATTGGCAGATCCTATAGGTCTGTTTAATACATCGAACTGACACACACACAAATCAGTGGAAAGGTAAGTAGTCATACCTTTAAAGGTGTCTTTTGAACAGCAAATAGTCTGACGTATGACATTCCAGTGTCCACAGCACCAACATGAAAGTTTATAATTTTTCTGAGATCAAATCAAATTGAACTCCCAACATTGTTAACCGAGTGAACGGATGAAGGTTTTTTTTTTATTAAACAATACATTCTGTGTCTCACAAAGGGCTTACCTTGGCAATTTATGTTCACGTGTGTTGGAAACAACAGACTTAAATTGAATACATTAGATGCAATGCAATCAAGTTGAGATTGGTGTTCGATTTTTAGTCCTGCCTAACTTTGACCGCTGACCTGACCTTTATGACATCTGCACGAACCTTTTCAGCAGCTTTGGGCTTATCTTCGTCCTGGAGCCAGTCATTCGTTTCCAGCATGGACTTGAAAGCCGCCTGCAGATTGCGTATCATTTCCAAGGCCTTCCAAAACATAATGTTAAAATAAGAAACATCTTAATTTAAAATTACAAGCAAACAAGAAAAACAATTCTGTGACGAACCCGTTCAAAATTCCCCTATCCGTATGCATGAAAATGCAATGTACAGCTGAAAACATGGTTTTCTTTTCCAGATCACAAGTTACACGTCATTTGTCGATCGTACCACGATCTGACCTATCTCAGTGTCTGACATTTCGAAAAAAAAAACGCGTTTGAAGTTGGCTACGTTTTGAATCTTCCATTTCCCTCATAATACTAACTTTCATTGACACAGATTTCGTATTTTGATCCAGTTAGATAGTTAAAGTAATATATGAGATATTTTGTTGGGATAAAATCTTTCTTGCACCTAAACCATACGTCACTTCGTTAAATTTTTATTGTCTTATTTTATGAGTTCAAACCGCGACCTATACAGATTGGTCACTTCGTGGAACGGAACATTTCTCCGTAGCTGACAATGACCTATGTCGTTTGTGCATGCGCGCGTGGACTTTTTCACTTAGATATATGTGGAGGTTCGTTTAAAATCCTTCACTGAGTTTTGTTTATGTTTTTCAATTAAAAAAGTCTTAAAGAGTAAAAAATTTGCAAAAGCTGGGGGAAATTAGAAGGAGAATTCCCATTGGGAAAGTCACGAACTCTTATTTTCTATTTTTGTTATTATTCAAAGTGTATCTTCTCATCATTCAAACTTATTTTTCTATGTATACCCACGGTCACTTTTTTAAAGATAACTTGAACGTCTCCATTAAAACGAATTACAATATTATGGGGCCTATCAATGACATACATTTAAAAAAAAATCTGCTGCTTTTCAAATAACAATGTCTGAAACGTGAAAACTGCTCGGGGTCACTGTATAGGTTGTTGTATTCCATACCTTCTGCTTTGCGTCTTCAGGGAAGTGTTCATCCACGTACATCCTACCACTAATGAATCTGTATTGGTGGTTAGCAGTGGAGACGCAAGTCTTCCAGCGGTCCGTGGTGGTTGTGGTATTTTTCACACTGTGGAGGTATTTCTGTCGGATGGCCAGGAACGTCTCGTTCATGAAGGGCACCATTCGGCTAACAAGCCGCCATATCATGTAGTTGGCCTTGACTCTGAAAGGGTGGATGTTTTAAAGTAATTTTCATTGAAAGTGTTAAGTTCAGTTAAGTGCCTGCAATGCTTAATTGCTTAATTAAGTGGCAAGAGTATGCATACTATAAATCTGATATGAATCACTCCGTAATAAAATTATAATAGTAGTTAGCTGTCGTTGATAAAACCAGTTTGGTAAAGAGGTAACACAACAAAAAGTGGGTGCACTGTTTTTGTCATATTGTGAATTCAGTTAGTCCGTCTATCCCCAACCTCTCTTCTTGATCTTTGAGCCACAATGTGACGTTGGAAATGTAGTTAGGCCTGTAGTTGACGATGGCTTCGTCTTCAGTAACACCTGGTTCGACGCTTGCTGGTAGCATCCGATTGTAAAAATGCACCCAGTCAATCTACAAGGCAAATTATTATTTTTTACGAAATTAAAAAGGTTCAGCTGGGTTGAATTTAAAGTATGACGAGCTTACGTAGAGTGAAACACATTTCTAAACATTTTTACGATTAAGACATAGTAGCCTGACCCAAATATTACTTTAGGCATTCCGGTATGGCTTAGCCGATGTATCCACTGATTGTTCAAGAAAGGCCAACTTGGCAACAGATTCAAAGGTTTGGTGGGTAGCTATACCTCATCCATTCCAATTTCCTCAAGAGTGGTTTCGACCCAGCCCTCGTCTGGATGTAGAACGGTCATCTGTGGCACCAGTAAAACAGAATGGATTCCATATTTGGTGCTGATGTTCATAAAGTAATGGAAGTGACTTCATAAACTGCAAACCGCGCAAAGTACTTTCTCTTCGTTAAAAAAATGACTGCAAACCTCAGGCATCTCTGAGCACAAAGCCTTTACGTACTGCAAAGCATTGTTAAGCCCCAATGTTGCAATGTTACTGTGATGAAAGTGACCACATACAATGCCTATCGTTCCAAGTACCAAAAAAGTAACTTCAAAACATTCTATATAATTTTGAGCTCATCATCTTCACGCACAAGGATTTTAAGTACTGTAACACAATAGATCGTGTTTTTTCCTTTTCGGCCCCAATGTTGCAGCTTGTAAGATACAAGGCCAAGCTTATATAACTATATTTTTGTAAAGGTTCTGTCTTGTACTCTATCGAGGAACAATAAATACATTTGCCATAGTTGTTTCAAACTCGATGAGGTCCTTCATGTCGTGCATTGCAACTGTGTCGTTTGCTCCAAGTGCCACAGCAATGTCGATCAGGTACTGAAAGTATGCTTGCCTCTTCTGAAAACGTGATAAGATGAATAATGGTAAGACATAAGTCGATTTAAAGTAGCCGCTGAGTTTAAGGTGCTGCCGAATAAAGATTGTGTTGAAAACACTTTTCAACAGCTACGACCGTGCCCTACGTCACTGCGTACCATACACCCGTATTCCGTACAAACAGAAACCGAAGCTGCATCCAGTGTTCCTTAAAAATTCAAGGCACTTTCAAAATCTTTTCTAAAAATCCAGCCTCTCTTGTATCTCAAGGTTTGTCTCAAGCTAACCCTAGAAAGAGCTAACGAGTTATTATCCACGGCCTCTCGTCTCCAACAGAAATTTAATTGACGAATAGTTCCCTTATAACTGGTACAAATATTGTTTAACTGGTTTGGAGAAAAAACTTGACATACTCTGGTAAAAAGTGAAGCTTTGCATGGTAGACAATTGACATAGGAGAGGGCTTACGCCGACACCATGAGGATAGACCTCTTAGGAGGACATCCATAGCACACTGGTCGAAACCCGGAGAACACACTCATTGGTTCTTATTGGAACCACACCTCTTCAAAAATCTATGCACCTCAAGCCTCGGCTTTCGCAAACACCGCAAGCCTATTCTTAGTAGACTTACTTCGGAATATCTCTCCTCCAACAGTATCTTTACCCCGTCATCATCAGGCTCGCCGCCTTCGTAAATCTGTGGGGGAGAAAGTGTCTTGTAACATTGGAGAGAGGGAGTTATTGCTCTTCAGGCTCGCAAACTTGTCCGCACGTGTCTGGCGTGAAGTAAGCACGAGGTTTACTGACATACAAGTAATGAATGTGTTGGACTTTCTTCCACAACTTGACTTGGGTTGAATATTGCTCCCACTAATCCAGCTCACTGAGCTGATCAAATGCACCCAATGGCGAATGTTGCGTTGACCCGCCGGGCCTCTATGTTACGGTGGGCTTGGATGTAAACAAGGGGCCACCACAGTTTATAAAGGGGCCTCATGTAGCTGTACTAATGGCAATGTGTGAAACCGTGTATGCGTCTTGAATCGGCACATTTCAAGACTATTTGATAAAAATCTTCCTCAAACAGGTAACTAAGCAACTTACATCTCCTTGGTGGTGCATGCGTTTAGAACAGTCAACTTGAAAGATTTCAATTTGCAAATTGAAAAAGAGAGCAATAAATACATTGCTATTAACATGATTAAAACATTTGCCTACCAATGAAACAAATGGTATGAGAACTCTAAAAGAATAGACAAATCTACCGTAAGGTCTCCTTACCAAACTCTTGCCTTCTTGCAAATCTGTGTTTTCGAGTTCGGTCCTCGGAACCTCGAAGCGTGGTGTGTACGCCTAAAGACAACGGAAAATTGCTACAATAGTGAGAAAAATTCACTTTTATGGTAGATGGTTTAGTTTTCATTGATTATAATCGAAGGATTTTATCAACATCTTATAAACATATCTTTTTCTCGCTATTCAAGCTTACGTATTAAGGCACGTTTTTAAAGTGGATAAAGATGCACATGAAGTCCTAATTTCTGATCCTGTAATTCCGTACGTTATCCAATGATACCATATGTTCAGGCTGCCAAGGATTTAAATTTCACTAGCAAAACGCATATGCAACTCACACGCAGTTTATACTTGTCTTTATTGCTGGGATCAGGCCAAGTGCCTGTGGCAACGATCATTTCTACGTCGTATTTGCCCCTGATGTCGGCCCACAGCTTCTCAAAGTCGAATGCGGACTGGTTCCAGTTCCCGCCCACTGGGTTGTCTCCGAGGACAGGCCAACCGCCGAGCGACGTAAGTAGGTCAGTCAGAGGTTTGGCCCCAAGCTTGTTGATGGTGTCTGTCGGTGGGAAGAGGCAGGTCCACAGTAAGATAAAAATCGGTTTGTCAAACAAACTACTGGGATACCTGAGGGGATCTAATCTTAAGTTCAACCCTCAGTGGGTTATCAGTAATGACTTTAGGATTTGAGTACAATGATAAATATCATAGTTCTTGATTCAGGCACAGCTTCTGTCGTAGCCGTAAACCCATTTGCCGATGATTGGAGGGACTTACCCATGTCTTTACACGACTTGTACACATTCCTCACAATGTGATACGACTTAGGCTCGCCAGCACTCGGGTTTTTTTCAAACAGATCTTGTATGAATAAAAAGTAAAAACGTGAAAAACGGTGTTGTATATAGTCGAGACCATCACAAGACCATAACAGTAATAATAATTTATTGACTTATATTGCGCTAATTCCATAAAATATGTTCACAAGCGCATTACAATTTTTTAAAAATAGTTAAATACAAAATTATAATACATGTAATACACCGATTAATACAAACAATTTCAACTCAATATACTGACAAGACCAGACACAAAACCAGACACAAGGCCAGACACAAGGTCAAGCACAAGACCATCACAAGACCAGACACAAGACCATCACAAGACCAGACACAAGATCATCATATTACCAGTCACAAGACCAGACACAAGACCAGACACAAGAGCATCACAAGACCAGACACAAGACCACCACAACACCATCACAAGACCAGACACAAGACCAAACACAAGACCACCACAGTCACAAGACCAAGCATAAGACTAGACACAAATCTAAACTTGTTGTTGTCTTGTGCTGGTCTTGTGCAGGTCTTAAATGTTTGTGAAGGTCTTAAGTGTTCTCGACTTCATCACTGATGGAAGGTTATACGAATGAGTTCCAACCCCCAAAACTACATTCATCAGCGTTTAGGTAGAGTGGCAGTGACAATATAATATCTCCATGGTAATTGCTACGACAGCAATCTGGCTTAAACGTTGATGGCAATGCCCGATTGATTATGGCTGATTATGACACCTGCTGTGTGGATATTAATGACAGCGGGAGCGGAGATGACAGTATCAACGATGAAAATAGTGTCAAAAGTGAAAACAGAACTTGATAGTGGCAAAGATTGCGCCTGCCTACAATGACTGTTACAATTGCGACGAAGTTGTCAAAGCAAACACTTAATATACATCGTAAGGAGGAGGATGAAGCGGGATCGAGTACGCTGTCCCCTTGGAGAGCTTTTCCACTAGGCCTCCTATTATTAGGATTACCTTTCAGCTTGCCCACGAGATCGTCGTTGACTAGATGGATGACTGAGAAACCGATTCGGTCTTCTGGAACTGAGTAGCGCTCGGTCCAGCCGCCGCAAGCGTATTCGAAAAAATTGTCACAGGGATTGATGCTCTGATCCATACTGCTCAAGTAAACGTAAGCTGAACAGATGAAGAGAAAATTGAGTACTGCATTGAAACGAAAATTTTGAGTCCCACTAGAGAAGCACGCCAAGTAGGCTAAAATGCATGACTTCAAGCCAACATGGTACAGAATGTGTGTTAAAAGGTTTGCTGTAAATTTCTACCAAAAACGTACATAAGTTTTAACTTATTTTATACCTGTCATGAAACTGAACGTTGACCCCTTGGAATAATACATGTATCTGGCTCCGTAGCTTTGTGGGAAGGGGTTGTTGGGGTGTTTTTTTTTTTTTTGGAGGGGGAGGTGTTTTGTGGTAATTTGGTTTTTATTTAATGGATGCCTTCCAACGTCCAACACTTCTACGCCGAGTTAATGTCCAAGGGCTTCTTTATAGATCTAAAACTGAAACTACTCAGAGCCAATGGTTTTAAAAACATCACAGCAAGGAGGAAGTCAATAGGAAAATCGAGAAGACATCAACAAATCAAAACTTGATCAAATCAAAACAAATCAAAACTGGGATAAAATAACAATGCATTAGAAAGCACTGAAAACTGTGAAGCAAAAATATTACAGTATTGGCCAATAACTTACACTACAGTGTCCTCATAGGCTAATTTTCTAATGCAATTTAAATTATGTCTGTATACCGGATTCATAGCACTGCTTTGTGATGCAAATTGGAGTGTCTTTCAACTCATTCAATTCGTTTGCGATGTCGTTCCTCTGCACGACGAACACAACTGTAAAAATAGAGCCAGCAGAAAAACACTTAGTACCAAACAAACTTCAGACATCAGCGGTCCGTGGAAAATGAAAAACGCGTCCGAATATTATAGAATGTTAACAAAGTTCGGTGTGTCGGAAAAACAATGACCAAAGTCAGGTGGATAAAGTTCTGTGATGATCCCTAAAGACTATGATTCAGCCATTTCCAAACGCAGGTTCGTCTTTGACGGGGGCTTCATGTGGTATTGAAATTATCTGAGGTTCTTCAATGCGGCGAGACACCTCAATTTAACCCCCTTGGGGTAGAATGTATTGTCCCTCTAACAGACAAATGGACAAATATTCATAAAGAATCTCCAAAGATGGAATTCTAGATAAGGTTTAGAACGGGCTAAGTTTGTTATTAGTAAACGACTCACTGGTCGTGACTTCATGTTTTTTTTTAATTGGGAGAATCCAAAGGCCCTAAATACACGAACGTTTGGCACTTAGAAAGCACTCTACAATGTGGATTATTTATTAAGTGACTTTAACATCATGTTGGCTGTCAGCTGTGTAGAATCTCTTTAGGATAGCTAGAGATATTGCAGATGAAAACAAAAATACTTTCAATTTTTTTTAAATGCTTGCAAAGGCAATCCACAGTGTTGATCGTTTTAAATAACCCACAATCCCCAACTTCAAACATAATGTACTTGGACTTTCATTTGTTATACGGCAATACAAGTACTAGGACTCGAAAGTAAAAAGTAGTTGTACTCAGAGACCTGTAGTACTTGTACTTGGTTGGCAAAGTACTCAGACTTGAACCAGTCTCTGCGATCTAAGCATATACCGGTACTCGGCAATACACGGTACTCGGAAAAGTACTCGATTACAACGCAGCTTATAAAGGTGTTGCAATCAATAAAGGGCCTTTACAGATGTGGCAAGACACCTCAATTAAGCTCGATGGGGTAGCATGTATTGTCTCTCTAACAGACAAATGGACAAATGGTAGAAATGGTTCGTAAGCTCGATGTGTCGCGGTTTGCAAGCTAGCATTATTACGACGACTCACCGGTAGTGACTGTCAGAGCGACGGTTGCTGTTGCCAATATACCTGTAAAAAGGATCTTGCAGAGCGTCTTGGAAGTCACACCAACCCCCACAACCAGCTGGGCGTCAGGATCTGTTCGGCTATCCTGTGTGACCCCATCCATCTTTAATGAACGACAGAGTGAAAATGAACCCTAGCCGTTGAAGTTAGAGATGGAAACATTTGCCTAGCCTCATTTCTAAAGGATGGCCAGTCACTCTTTATAATGACATAAATAAATACAAATGAAGGAGTTTAATTTTTTTATATACGTTAATAAGAAATTATGGATTGTGAAACATTTCAGACACTAAGCCTACCTGACTTGGGGAGTCAGGTTGGCATATACTATAGTGCTTCTTTCTTCTGCGATCCGGGTTCGAATCCTTGCCGGTCTACACGTGGATTGTGTTTGAATAATAATAATACATTTAACGCATTACTAAAGGCTCTCCGAGGCTTTTTTTGAATACTGTTTGTAAACACACGAGGTGGTTAGCCATACATTTTTTACATGACCCATTTTTTATTGACATAAAAAGGATTTTTAACATTACTTGGGTTTAATTTGAAACCAGGAAGTTTTCAATAGAAAGATCTTGGAGAAATTTGCATGGCTAGCGACGACCTTTTAACAAGGACATACAGAGCAGAAATTATACATACGCTGGAGTACGTTAGTCTAATTTTAATTTTTGTCACATGTTGGGGGCCTAATTATAAGGCGTATACGTTTTGTCCCTGGGGGTCGTCGGTACAGGTACTCTTAGTTGTTTCCACGCCTGTATCACAAAAATTTCCCAAACGATACCACTTCGATTTCAACAAGCCGCCACCGACATATTTCATTTTTAATAAGGTACACCATAATTTTAAATTTGTAGCATTCTATCGTCCTTCTGTGAAGGGTGAAGTGTTGAAAATCAATTTTCGTCATTCACTGAAAATCAGTCAGTGAACTCACTTGAGTGTACAGAAAGGTACATTGTCTTAAAGTCTAGTTTTTGCTTACATGCAAAGAAGTGATCATGAATAACGAACACTATACTTTTCGGTGGCTCAATTTTTTTATACAAAAAGAAAGATAGGGTAAGATTTTTCCCTTATTTTCATAATTATAATCAACACATCAAAGAAGATTTGCAGTAACTAGTTTAGGTTAAACAGAGCAAAGAAATGTCAAAATTATTACTCAAAAAATCACACGCTTCAAAATGTACCAAAGAACATATATGCTTTAACAATAAGCCAAACACTATAAGTAATAACATAGCACAATTACCATGAATGAGAATGTTTTGAAATGTGAATGGACCAGTCCATCAGGCATCGACCGATCACAGCCGTGGTTTATGTCCTACGCTCGTGTACAAAAGTCCAACATACGTGCAAGCGCGTATGATGCGCACGGCTGAGCTGAGAGATATAGTTTGGCATGGCTTGCTGGATCGGTCTACTGTGCTGCACCTTATTTTTAAAAGTTGTCGACTAACAATATCCACAGGGCCCAGTAATTATATTTATTCTCTTAAGCTTCACCCATGTCCTCCAGATTGACAAATGTACGTGTTCCTCTGACTCTTGATATGCTATTGTGTAGTTAACAGACACTTAACATCGCTGAAATAGCTTTTTTCACAATGGATGGGAACGTTTTGAAACAAAGGACAGTTCCCGCGAGTTGAAGGGAATATCCACGGAGAGTTGGATCACGTGACATGACAACGGCTTTACTTAGTCTGAGGAGATTGACAATGTGCACAAACACTCGTTTTGTGACTGCTGAAGAGCAATGTCTATATCTAACGCGAGTGATTTCAAGTAATAGTTGCGATAGGGTTCCTTCGATGAAAGTTGTACTTTCCACAACCATAATGCAAGAAAAACGTGCTGTAGCGAATGATGCCTTGTGATGACCTTCAGAGAGGAATCAGCTGCTAAATAACGCAGTCAGTCTTTAATATCGAGGGAGTCTTTGTACAACTCCCCTGGAAGCACTGTCAAGGCCGTGTACCTCCCCCCGTTTCTTCTTATACCGGCTGTTCAAAAAAACTACTTTGTGTCATGGGCCCAAATAACCTGAAATTCAAAAAACTTTAAGAGGACGCAGCCACGAAGAACAACATGCCAATGTCGGAAAAAACTGAAAGCCTGAAAGCACTACAATAATAGGATCACCAGAATGCTCCAAATTTTATTATTGCGTTATTGGCAATGTTTATAACACATTTTCAGGTTCGTAAGAACACTCCTAAGGTAGGCGAAGCGTGTGTTCAGTTTTACCCGACCCTGCCTCCTCTTGAGTATCTATCCTGGCCATATCTCGTTGGGCCCCCACCCCTTGGCCCCCTCTCAATGTTCAGCTCCAGATAACAACACTGACCAGGGCAGTGGGGGACCTACAAAGGGTATGGCTATTGACACGTGTCCCAACAATTTTGTCCAGGACTGCCTGAGTTTATACGTGCCTGGTATGTGTATCCCGTGAGGTACTAACTTTACGTCCTTGGATATCGTCGATAGGACAAAAGAATGTAAGGACTCTAGATCTCAACTTTGTTAACTTTAAGTGGCAACAACCTGAAGAAAAAGTGACACTGAGCAATAGTGCATAAAATGTGTGTGAAAGGCTGCACAAAGGCAAAATTGTAATGATTGCATTTCTTCGCTTTCACCTAAGAGACCGCGTAGCATGCACTCACAAATGCGCCCGCGCGCGATATACATGACAGGATAAAAACGGTGAGCCACGACACATCATTTAAGAACTGGAGTTTCTCTGTTCTTTTCTTCTTGTGCTTGTGATGGATCATCGTTGCATTTTGCCAGTAACGGAATGAGGAAATGAGAAAAATCCCACAAGATCGTTAGTTGTTTCTGTACCAGAATGGGCCTTTCAAATTCAGAAACGCGTTATGGACCGAAATGCCATAGTGTATCGTATACGATGAACTCCTATAAAACAATTGTGATTGTACACATATACACATAAAGTATAACATTGATACTCATCTTGCTTTTTTCTTTTACTTGTAAAATTTGTTTCCTATACTTGTACAATTTGTTTCTTTCAATTGTACAATTTTTCCAAATATACCTTCTATTTAACCACCGACTGCTATTTTACGTTTTCCAAGAACAACATCGGAAAGCACACGCTAAACCACAACACATGTTAACGTTACATACCTACTATGGACATTCCTTTATTTTCGTGCAGTTAAGAAAACTGGGTGAAAATGCTAATTTTTTTGAATTAGGAACAAGATATTCAGCTGGTTTTTTTTTACAGGGCTTCCTTGACTATTCCTCTTCCTTTTATCACGATGACCCCTACCCCAAAATGCCTCTAAACCTCTTTTCCAGAGAAGGGGAAACCTTGTGTGGACATGTGCAAGTCCACACAACGCCATCGTACCCTGCATTATGTGGACTTCATTAAGGCAGAGGTTCACACTATATATAACGCGCCTGTAGAACACACATAGTATATCATTACCTGCACATGCACATGTATGAACCAATTCAGCCGTCGTACATCTCCGACGCTATTTGACATGCAACCTTGCACGTTTATGCAATTACTTTATCGGCGTGATGGCAACACTCAGGTGAATTCCCCATATGTTCCTTGGCCTCCAGGAAAGATTGTCTTCGTGGGTTCCAGTGTCTCGTTTTTCCCTCTTATGACGACGATGTGATGACCCAAGACACTTTCGTTCTACCGCCTCGTCTCCCAACGCTCCCAGCCACGTATTTTCGGTCCCCATAGGCTGTGGGTGTATTCGCGCATGCGCAACAGTGACATATGGTCGTTGGCCTGAAAAAATTATTCGAGCAAGCGACGCATATATTGGGATTTGTACTGCCATTTCCCTTGAAGACCTTATGTGTGAATAAATTGAATCTATCAAATGGTGATGTTTAAAACTATCTTCTAGTAAGGCAAAGCTCTCCAGAAAATAACCAAAGAAGTGGAAAATGTCAATTTTAGGACAGACGAAAAAAAATATCGTGCTTTATGGTACCTAATTTTGTGTCTCATTTTCACAATTTTTCCGGGTTTACTTTCAAATAAATTTGAAGCCACATGAAAGGTAGTACATCTTATGAACAAAAAAGTTTATTACCTCAAGGTACAAAACCCGTTTTTAAATTCATTTCATTTTCCATTAGCCTGGACCAATTTTTGTCATTTTCCGTATTTTTCACCTTACTTAGAGCCCAATTTTCGCACTTTTGTCGAATTCCCCTCAGATCATGGGTAATATTGTCTGGAAGACTGATGAATTTTTTATATCCATCCAGTCGTTTTTTTTTCAAGATCGAAAGCCATTTGTGTGAAATGCGGTTCGTTTTTCCTCCAGATTCAAATTTCCGCACTGAGTCCGGCAGCGGTCAAAAACGAGATGCCCGGATTTTGGGCATGGCGTACACGTACACACACACATACCTGGATACGAGTGAATTTGGGTGCGAGTTGACTTTTACTGCGTTTCACTGATACGTACTCAAACATTGTCAAATTGCCAGACTTGAAGGCACAAACAAACTCTTTCCGTTCTCATTCATACGGTTTCCTTCTTGCATGATTCTCATTAGAGCGTTCATGACATTCCTCACCATTCAGAAGTAGAGACATGTCAGGAAAAACTCGGCAAAACTGAAAAAAAAACCTCTAAAATGTTGGCTTCGCTTCCAACTTTTCTTACTGTGTTACTCTGGGGGTACGTGAAAATGGATTTTTATAGGCCTAGTGTGGAAATTAGCAAAAGAGACTTTGAGTGTTTAAATTCGAATCAAGGGCAAACAACTTTCTCTGAGCTTGATGTTGATCGGTTACAGTGGGGTTCACCTGTTGGAGTCAAGAGCCATTTTACTGGCTTCTGGGGCTGTAGTGGGATTCAGTGCGCACACGCACCAACTAAAGGAGGGGCATGAACATACGTACAGCCAAAGTGCCAGGCAAAAAGGTCGCCACAGCCAATGGAACAGCCTGAGGGTTGGCGTTCTTCCAACTCCGCCTGTCGCAGAAAGCCAGGCGACACAAGTAGGCCTTTGCCAGGTGGCACAAAGTATATTTGCGTCCGTCATTTAATTGGGGAGACTAAATAGGCCTTCTATCCATTGCACGAAAAGGCGGGTGCGGGGAACGGCTAATTGGACCCCGGCCCTCATTTGTCTTTAAATAATGAGAGAACAGCGATATTTTTCGGTTTCTACCTCCCCCTCCAAAGGCGTGTAAAAAAAACCTTAAAATGAAGTCTACCCCACGTGTAGGCCACAAAAGATTACATGAAAAAATCCAAATTTAAAATTGTGTTTGGACACGTCTTTGGTAGCACGGCACCATGGCGCCCCCGCCCAGACTTGATAGTGGAAGATAAATATGCAACCGATTCAGATTCCAACTGTCTTGTCCCATAGGCAACAACGACACAAATAAATGTACTCTTCTTATCTCCCTCAAAAAGACTACTGTCCGACTTCACTGCCTTTTTTCCACTGCTCTACAGGCAGTCCTGTTTGACTGTCGTAAGCTGGCCCCCGTTTCACCTCTGCAGTCTGAATAATCACATTGGATTGATATTCCTAGAACAATCTTTAGACAGACGGGCAATTTGTCTGCTAAAAGTCAGTTAATGGCTCAGAACATGTTGCTTCAGGCAGTTTCAGCGGACAAGTTCATGTGTAGATCCTTCACCACGGTAACTGTCGTCATGGGACGCTACCTTTTACATTGTAAACAGCACTCGAGTTCTGGACGTGGAATCATGGTTCCGTGCTAGTCAAGTTCTTCGAGTTACGATCTCCTGTTTTTTGTTATTATGGTGAGGATGAGAGTTATTTAACCTAAAGATGAATTCTTACCTCAGTTTGGGGCGGAACCCATGCCTCCTTTGGGGGATGCATCATTCTCAAGTGCAGAAGAAAGGAAGGCCTCAATTCAGTCTCAACTGTACTCGTGATCGTACTTTTCACAATAGTTTTGGGTACAAGACATCTTTCGCTGTGCTGCAATCCGACATGCGTGTTGTGTGTGCAGTTACTAAGTCTGGATACCAGACCCTATGATTCAGACTACTTTACGAATCGGGGGTCCGGTATCACCCAATGTCCACGTGACCAATACTGGAGGCATTCCTCCGGTTTTCCGGAAATAGCCGAAATATTCCAAAGTCGTCCCATCTATAGTCGACATGTGTGCATGACACCGTTGATATTTGGTTATTCCCGGCCGGGTAGGTAGGTTAGCTGTTGAACGTAAACTCCCGTATCCTAATAGTGATGCTACTGAATTGATGCTACAGTATTTGACTTTACCGACTGATTTCGGCCAAGGCGACCGTCGCGACGGTTGCCTTTGCCGAAATCAGCCAGGCGACATGCAGAATATAACTTCCTTCGACCAGTGCAGGCTTTGAAGGTCTCCTCGGTAATCTTCCTAGCTGAAGATAATCTAGGAAGAAACAGGACCTGACGACAAATGCTTAATGCCCACACATACAAAGTGCACCACCGTAATTAAACCGAAAACACCCGTGCTCGCAACTTGTGACCCCTGACCCTCGTGTCATATCTATTTATAACCGTGTTTGATGCCTGACCGAAGATTTTTTTTAATCAAGAATTGTCCGGGAATCTTTAGGCAGGGAAGTAGACTATGCAATTATTGTAGCTCGTAACTTACTCGTATCAGCCGGGTCATTCGTTGCCAAGCGCCAGAACAGGTGGACTAGTGTCCGTCCTTTTTATATAGGGACTGGTAGCTAGCTGCGGTTTAACGTGTGCGATTAGCCCTGTCCGGAATGGATGCTGAATATTTAGGTTTTTGTCAGGCCAATAGAACTACTTTAACGTGAGCTACGTTTCAGCGCGGAGGCAAACTAAACACAAGTACTATATATCTTCGCTAAATTGTCGCAGTTGTTTTGCTTTAATGGCGCTTTCAGCTACTCGGGCTATTTACGTCAATAACTGTATGTTTATTCATAACCTATAAGGAGTTACGGAAGAAGGTTCAGTTTAAAAGGTAGGAGGAAACCGGAGCACCCACAGAAAACCTCCGAGAGCGAGTGTGGATTGGAAACAACAACACACAGCCCGGGTCAAGGCGGGACTCGAAACTAGGCCTCATTGGTACAGAGCGAGAAAAGAAAAGCTATACCCGCTCACCTTATCTCCCCTTCGCTAAGCCTATGTCGATCACAGTTTTGTAATTGACTTTTCAATGATTTTCACAGATAAATCATTTTACGCCAATTTATTGCAAATCAGTGGTTATTGCGATGAAATTGCGGATAAATGGACAATTTATGAGGAAGTTATTTTGAATTCGGTAACAAAGAAGAAAAAGCCCAATATTAAAGCAGCTCCTGCTCGATTTGTGCGTTGCGCAGGCATCGCGTGGTTTGTTCGTCTCCCAGTGCTTGAAGGGCTGATGGCGTTGCACAGATTTAAGTGAAGGAAATTATTATGTGAAGGATTCTACCAGGTTCATTGCCCGCTACCGGTTCCTACGTTCGGAGGACGTTTGTAAGATGTCTGTAGACTACATTCAGGACGGGAACCAGTCCACTGAACAGGGCGCAGGGAATTGCTGATTGCCTTGCACAGATTTTATTGAAGAAAATTACGTCATACGGGGTCAAAGCTAGACGATCGACGCGCAGAGCATTGTGGGAATAAATCGCTGCCAGGCGCGCGAGCTCGCTTAATGCGTTACACAAGCGGCGGTTACCAATTCGATAGTTTTTTCTTTTCTTTTCTTTTCTTCCTCATTGCTGAAACTATTCTCACTACACTTTATTTGTTCATCTAAAATTGATCAAGATAACCACTGATTTGAAATACATCGCTAAAAGACACGTGATCAGTGATACTTAGAAGATAAATTACCACACTGTGATTGTACCAAGGCATTGTTTTTATCATACAACCAACAACTTTACCCGTGCCCAAGCATTATCACTGGTGATCCAAAAAAAAATTAGATAGGCCTAACGCTTCGCTGAAAGGAAGTGAGAACCTGGTGGTCGCAGGTCGTGCACAATGTAGCCAATCAGCAAATCCAACAGCCCTTCCCAGCGCCCTGTTCGGGAAACATTTTTGCGGGTAGCTGGATCTTTTACTCAGGGTGATTGATATCGACGAGATCGATGTTGAGCAATTACAACAACCTTAGATACGAAGTTGTTCGTTCGTACTAGTTCCAAAATTTGACAACATGTGGGTGTGCTATTGTCTGTACAATCAACAATACAAGCCGTGTCGCCGCATTAATTCCGGAATATTGGTCTGACCAGAGACGGACTATTTTTTAGCCCAACGAATAACTGAATTGTGTCACTCGAGTTGAGTCGAGTCATCTGCTCACATGTTGACTCAGTCCAGTTGAGGGAGTTTGCTGTTGGGACTCGAGTTGAGTGGAATTGCCAAAAAGTTGACTGGAACTCTTGTCCTCGTGATGGTTCTCTCAAAAATGTTTACTTTAATAATAGGGAGAGTAAAAACCGAGCTTAAACTGAGACATGAACTGGTTACATAGGGAGTTAAAAAAAGAGAAACACAAAAGACAATTAAAATTATGCGTTACAAATTAGCAAATGAATATAAGTAAGTAAAAATGCTGAAATAAAAGTAAAATGAGGAGGATATGTATCAAGTGAACAAAACACATTAAGACTATTAATTTAAATAAAAGGAGAATTTTGCTTTAAGAAAATCTGTAACCACTGCTGGACATGAAATGACAATATTACCGCAGTCAATCGAAAATTTCGGAGAGAAAATCAACTCGTTGAACATATTTTAATTAAAACCCTCTGAGTAACTGTAGGAGACCGTGCCTTAGCAAGGGCGACCTCACCCTTTTAACCAAGCCAAAAAAATCATACCGTGTAGGCAACGGTGTTTTATGGTAGCTGCATGTGATACATACTCTATTCCTAAAAGAGACATCTCTATTCCAGGAATAAATGTTAACTTGGCGTGTCTAGGAGTAGAGACATCTGTAATACATGGATTAAATGTTAACTTTGCATGCCATAGAATAGTGAACCAGTGTCACACCGCACCTATGTGGAAATAATGTACTAAAGTCCCTTTTTATCAATCAGTTTTTAAAGACAGGTAAGTGAAAGAGATTCGCCACAGGAGCAGTTTAAGAACAATTAATTGGCGCTATTTTACATCTGCCACAGTATTCATAACTCAGTACCCCGTCTCCTAAACTTACTTAATTTTCTGAACAAGTAAAACTAGAAACCGAAAGGCGTTGCCTTCTTTTCCAAAACTAGCCTGAAGAGTTATGCATCTAAACTATGTGTAGTATCTTGAATATGACACACAGTGAACAATTCATAATATGAATGCAACAACTCTCATTGCCCGTAATCACCAAATTCCCAGCAAACCAAATGTTTACTTTGCATTATGCTCAGAAAAATAAGAAACATTGCATAAGAGATATCTACGATATAACTATAACAATTTAATCATTACTAAGCAAAACTATAATAATGCAATTGGACGATCAAGATAAGAGTGAACAAGAAGTATCTATACTTTAGTTCTAATGCTCATACGAGTTTACACCTCATGCAATTAATGATTTATCAAGTTGTTATGAAGGACAAGTCACTAAAATACGCATTTATTTCTTAGTTTTGTTTAATGTTTTGCAGTTGTAAGAATAATTAATATTTCTTTTAATTTTTAAAAATCTGAGTTACATTGGCGTATTTTTCTGAACGAACTTAATACCAGACTTTGCATTTGACGTCTGGGTTCATGTAGCTTCCCGCAGGGCAGTTGAATGCAGCGTGAAACGCTTCGTTGTTCTGCAGTGGACCAATGACTCTACAAGAATTAAACAGATTGCTTGTTATAAGCACACTAGTAACTGGCTTGGCAAGAGAGGACACAGCACTTGCCGAGTTAAAACATTTGGTTCATTCGTGTTACTTTCCTTGTATTCATTTACTCGCAAAAATTATTGTATAACGTTTGGATAATTGACTCGATTGCTGAGAATCACGTAGGAGACATTAAACAACCTGTATCGCTCGGGACTGTGCACTCCAAAGTCGATGTAGTAATCCACACCTTCAGGTTTGAACACACTGCACGAGAGCTTAAAGAAAAGAGGAAAACGTTTCTGTTTCCTGATTTCCTTTTTGAGACCTTTCAAATACTTCATATAAATGCATATTGCCAACCTGTTTCTTTTTTAAGCACCCTGTTATGTGGAAAATCGAACAGTCTTCTATATTCACCGCATGCATAGTTTTTGATTCGGCACGCTACAGTTGAGCGTGGGCTAAGTATTGGAAAGACGATTCGGCAGCTGTTTGTCCCGCTGCCAACCGACAAGCATGCATGGCGTCACAAGATCTTTTCAGATCTGGAAGGGTCTTCTCCTTCAATTTAGGATTCGAAACAGTAAAACATTGTCGTACAGTAGTACGTGAAAGTCTTTGCTTTACCTGAGAATATGAAAGGAAGAACATCTGCTCCTCGGTGAAATCAACACCAGGAAGTCGAGGCTCTTTAGGAATGTTGTCCATGTAGGCCTTTCGAAAAGAAAAGATATATATATGCGACAAAATTAAAAAAAAAACATGATTGATACCTTTGGGCTTTGAAATTATACATGTAATGTTGATGTACATGTATGTGTGTGCTGTGCATTTGTGGTGATACCTTATACGCCTCTCTGAGTCCTCCGGCGTCAGCGATGTTTTCACCTTGCGTTTTTGTACCGTTTAGCTGTAAAAAGTAGCAGATTTGCGTCTTTTTACTAATTTTTTCTCCTAGGTGCAGAAACTGTCGCCCTCATTCAAATCATTGGATAACAAAGAGGCTGTTTTGTCATGGCAAAGAGGGTCTTGATGGGCAGGCATAATTTCGCAAAATGGAATGCAATTGGAAAAAAAACCGGGAAAGATAATCCACAATTCAAAGCTTACGTGTCTGCCATTTTCTGGCATAACAAAGCCGGAGTATTGATCGATCATGCACTGGGCTTTCTCTTTGAAATTGTCAATGGATTCCTGAGTCCACCACTGCCTAAGGATGCCGTCTTTGTCGAACATTCTTCCTGTAACAAGAACAAGAAAGACACGAAATTTTGCATGAGTCCTCCGGAGCATTCTCCTGTTAATTAATCATGCATATATAGAATCAGTTCCTGCGAAAGTGCGTTGTAATTACGCCAATGTATTACTAAAATTTAAAAATGGTTTATAAGAAAA